AGAACGTCTTAATCAAGGAAGTGTTGGAGGATATCAAGGAGGCGGTGGATATCAAGGGAATGCTTATCAGAGAGGTGGTGGAGGATATCAAGGAAGTGGTGGGGGATATCAAGGAAGTGGTTGGGGATATCAAGGAAGTGGTAGAAATCAAGGGAGAGGATATCAAGGAAATGGTCAATTTGGAAGTCTTGAAAATCAGGTTGTTATATTTGTGATTATCTTGCAAATGTAGATATTTGAAAATATTCACGTGTAATATGTAATTATCATGTTACGTCTTATGAAAAAAAAAATTAAAAACATACTGTATCATTTTTTCAATAGACAAATTATTATCGTATATTTAACTTCTTCCAGGTTATGAGAGAGTATGAGGAACGTCATGGTTCTAGCAATGATGGTCGTCGTAGTAGAGGTGGAAGAGGACGTGGAGGATTCAGTGGGCAATATTACAGATAAATATTCTGTGATTCTAAGAATGGAAACCCCATGATCTGAAGGCTTAATCATGAGAAAGTTTGCAAATCCACTGTCCATTTCCTAATTTTCTCGAAATTTGATGTAATTGTGATTTTGAACATATATACTTCTTTTTCTATAGCTTCATTTTACAACAACTTTGGTTGAGTAATACTGCTTGTTTCTATCTTATTTACCACTTGTGGAAATACTGTTTTGTACTTCTAATACAAAATTCAATAGCTCTATTTGATTTCTTGCTGTCAAATAATTTTGTTCTCTAAGTTGTAGTTATTTCATTGCTTTGATGTTCGTTTATCGTTTCGGATTAAATCATTTATCTTTTGGAACATATTTCTGTTCACAATGATGGCTTTATTAAACCGAATATAACAATATTATTGTAGGAAAAGCAATATTTTGATTGAAAATTCAATTATAATTTAAAAATGTTAGTAGTGTGACATGCGTTATTATGAGCAGATGTCAACATCTCCTTAAAAGGTAACGAAATTTTAAGCGAAATTTAGCTATCGTCTAATGTTGTAGTGGATTATAGAATAACATAATAATGTAGTTACAGCTAGTTTTCTACATTTAGTTTCAGATTTTGTTCTCATCATTATTGCTGATTGAGAATTCATACAGTTGTGAAGAAATAATGTAATAAGCAGTAATAAGTCACTTCCTTTCAATATCTTTATTTCTATAATTGTCCTTTTATCTAGTCAAGTTTTCTATAATTAATTTTTTATTTAATTAAGTTTACAAATATTGCAAGCAAATTATACATATTGTCGCTTTCAAAGTAATCTTCAGTTTATTTGGAGGTTAATGGTGTTCTTCATTATTATTCTTTAAGTAAGATGAAGAGAAATGAGTATTTCAGAGAAGAATATCAGGAAAGTAATGAAGATACGGAATGCATGCAGTACGCTTTGGTGTTTGCTTCCTAAATATCATGTGTCGACGGGTATTTACAGGTCGAAATGCTTCTGGAATCGCCGAATACAGAATCCGCTTCAGATAAGAAGTTCTGCCTCAGGTGTCGTAGGTCTGTGAAAAAAGCAAATTACGATGAATTTCAAATATCACTGAAACTACTCGTTACTCATAAAAGTTACATCGAATGCTTGAATCCTTTTCATAATATTCATATCAATTGAATGTTTCACTGCAGTGAATGAAATTTAAGCCAACCAGTTATTATTTAGCGTTGGTTGTCCAGTACGTAGAAGAGTTTTAATTTTCAGAATTTGAGAATTATTCTGCATACTAAATTTTACTGATTCTTTTTTATTTTTGTATCTAATGATAATCATGAAATTGATTAAACGAATTTATAATTTTATTCATGCATTGATATAATAATAATGGTTCTAGGTGTTGTAGATGGAACACAAAAAGTGACTATCGATGATGAATTAAAAGCACGAATAATTATTGAAACACTAACATTTGATGAGCGAAAACGTCTTCAACATGCTCTTAATGAGATTAACAAACCATTTTCTCGGGATGCTTCTGCTGGTAATAAATAATTACTAATATTTTTTATATCCTACTTCATCTTATAAAGTTTGCTTATACACACTAATACTTGCTATTTTTGTTTATCGTTGGTAAAAAATTCATCTACACTAAGCACGTTGTGAATTAATTTCTGCAGTTTTCTGATATATGATTATATTCACGCTTACCAATAGTTTTGCATATCACTTAAACTTTAGTTAGTTATTACCTAATGGTTAACTTTACTCCATATACCTTTATCTTTATTAATGTGGATGGATGTAGAACCATTTTCATTAGTGCTTCTAGCAGCTGATGAGCTTAATTTCTTATTAATACAAAACATGAAGTGCATCTTTTTCTCACTTTTGATAACAGTATCTGTTAAAATTGTTCAATTCTTGATATGATTCATTTCCATTTAAAACTCCAATAAATTTTCAAATAGTACCTTAGGTATTGATTTTGTAGGTCAAGAACTCTCACGTGAACAAATCAGGCAGTTGTTTTTGATTAATGCTTTGCCATTCATCGGCTTTGGTTTTCTTGATAATGCTGTAATGGTTGTTGCTGGTGAATACATTGATCAGGTCAATTTCCGAAACATTCTCGTTGCAACCTGCTGAAGCTATGATATTCCACACTTTTTGAACAAACAAATGTAGTAGAATATTACAATTTCATTTTATGTGCAAATAAGTCTTCTAAATTTTATTTTCATGTGAATAATAAAATGTAGAATAAAAGAGTAGTAACTAACGCTAGAGAAATTGTAGAAAATCGGTGCGTGGTTGACTATATCTACCATGGCAGCAGCTGCTCTTGGAAATACAGTCTCGGATGTTGCTGGTGTTGGTCTTGCGCATTACGTTGAATTTTTTGTATCAAAATGTGGCATCAAACATCCTGTACTTAATTCTCAACAGGTAGAAATAAGAATTCAGTGAAAATACAAAAATTTTTTCAATGAAATGTAGAAGCTGTTTTCCAGCTGGAATCTTCACTCGCTCGAGCAATAATACATGTTGGACGTGGCATTGGACTAATTCTTGGATGTCTTGTGGGCATGTTTCCTTTGCTTTTTTTCCATCCTTCAAGCTCTAAAACCAATTCAGATTCTTTAGTAACTAAGGAAACTTAAAAAGCTTTTCCTACGTCCGCACCATATAACCACTATACCTTCTAAGATAAGACGCAATATCTTCTGAAAAAATTTGAAAAATAAAAAATGGTCGGACCCGTTTTTTACTATTTCATCAGTCTTCGTAACCCGAAGATTCCAAACAACCATTATTGGCGATCTTTCAGCCTTCATTTTGTCTTTATATTCGAATATCCTCATTTACTATAGATACTTGGTGTCTTCTGTGTATATTCAAACTCCTCTTATCACTAAACCTAGAGGCTCTTTTCCAGAGTATTTAATAGCTCAAATTCTGTGTTGTTTTTAACATATTACTGTACGATTAAAATGTTATCCTCACTATTGATCTGTGTCAATTCTTTTTTGATATCATATTAAAAGTAACTGTGAAAATAATTCGCACTTCACAAACACATCAATTTTCGTTGTGAAATGCATAATTTTTAGGATCACTCATTAAGAGATATATCTACACAGAAAATAAGAAAATTTTTTAAACAATTACTGTTTTCAATATTTTTAATAGCAGTAAATTTCGCTACTCAACACACAACTGTTTAGTAATCCTTAATTTTGTTACACAAATGAAAATTAAAAAGCATCTTCCTCAGAACAGAAAGCAAAAACTTAATGCTTATTTCACTTCACTATTTTTCAACACTTTACAGTCAGAAAATAACTAATGTGGATGAATGTTACACCATACGAGAGATATAAAATAAATGTCAAATGTAAATTCCGGTTCATTGTAACACGAAGCATGTTTTTGTACATTTTATCGTTTCTTTCACTCATAAAATTTTCACATCTTTTCAGCTTACAGAAACAGAATTCAAATACAAGGACATGAGTATTAAAAATATTGAAAACAGTAATTGTTTTCAATATTTTTAATACTCATGTCTGCCATTAGTCTCATCAGAAAGTATTAAAAAAAATCAGTCAGCGCATGGCTTCTTTAATTCGATTCCTACGTGAATCACTTTGTAACTTGTCGAATACTTTACCATTAACTTTCACTAATATTCGAACAAATAACTGTTGAGCAAGTAAGTTCTGTAATGATTCATTGATTTCTTTCGCAACTGCAGTTATAGTTAAACCATGTTCACCAACAACAATTCGTGCTATGCGGTCCTTTTTGCACTCAATTTCAGCAACAATTTGCAGTACTTCCCCTTCCATTCCCCACTCGGTAATTTTGATCTGTTAAACAGTAACGGTTAATAAACAAAGCAGTTTCATAACTTTGAGAAATTTTTTTTAAAATTTATAACGGAAATTGATGAAGTCAAGAAATAGTTTAACTTATATCATGGGGTAATGAAAAGAAAATATTTTCATACAACGAAGAAAAGATAATAAATGCAGTTTACACTATACTAGTAATCTAAGGTGTTGCAGATATAAAGTCTGTATCCGTTATAACGACCAAAATTTAACCATTAAACTGTTATCATAATTTTGCCTTTTCGAAAATTTTACCGCCAAATTGTACGCAATGTAAGGTGGTATTCTGTTTAGGAATTCGGCTCTTATTGCATCCTGACAAATTTTTAAAGGCTTTTTTGTGGTGATAACTTCCTCTTTGAAAATATGCTCCTGGAACAGTATAGTGTTAAGGAAAATATATGGATCGTTAGAAAACCATATGATCGTTATCAAGAGCTTAAAATCTTTCTACAAATTCCGAAAACTCACCTTCTGAAGACCCAATTCATGAAGGTAATTGCGGACTGTGTCAATTCCTTCCCCAGTCAAAGCACTAACGAAAAACACGGCTTGAAAATTGGACCACCCCTTTATATCCGCAAAAAGTTGCTTAGTTTCACTCCAACTACATTTGTGTGTAGGTTTTTCAAGAATTTCTCTAAAACACTTCAAAAAATCGATTTCCGTATTAGCATAATTGTATTTAAATTGATATGTGGAAAAATTTATCTCGCGAGGCAATCCTACATCTTACCTGTATTTTTCTTGCCACTGTTGATCGTGTGCTTTGGCTTCTGTACTATGAAGTGGAATTGTAGGAGATGATTTGCGTATTTTTCCGCATATTTTGGCCAACTGGCCACCACTACGCTTTTTAACAACAATGGGATTTCCATCAACCACACCATTACACAGTACTTGAGTAAGCGCCAACAAATCAGACCTCCAAAGAAAGACAAATTTTTTTGGAATTTCCAATCTAAGTCTACTAATTTTATTCAATATTTCTTATTATTTATACATAATCTACTATCTTCATTATTATTAATATAAATAGATAAAAGCACATAATTCTACTGAACTAACCTTTGTTGCACTAGGTCAATTTTGTTTAAAACTAAACTTGAAGGAATTTGTCGGTAACGGTGCAACATATGTAGCACTCGATGTAAAATATAATCAGTAGACATAGTGGCATCATGAATCACAAGAATATGATCTGCCTGTTCCACAGCATGTTCCGGGTCTATTATATATTTTTTATGACTATTACTTGCAATATAAAGCAATCATACTAATAATAATAAACAAAATTAGAAACTGAATGTGAAAAATTAGGCTTCCGCAGTATAAAACAAATATCTCAACTATCTCAATTTCTCGCTTCTCAATATTCCCCCAACTTATAGATGCAATTCCTAATTTTTCTTTTTTTCATTAAATGCGTAAATACTATGTCACCGTTTTACAACTTACCACTAAGAATACGTGAATCAGGACTTCTCATAATTTCTCTTGCATGCCTGATGCCCACAGTTCCAGGACTATCTACAAATACCAGTTGTGATAAGCCTTCGGTTAAAATAGCTGTTTGGTTTTTCTGTGTAGTATCCATTTGGGAACTTACAGCTGCTACACCTGCTTTTACCAATTTGTTCGTTAACAACGATTTGCCAGCATTTGGTGGACCAATTACAGCTACCTTAATTTTCCCGCATTACAGTACTACGATTACTATTGCACTTCATTCAAGCATCGAACATTAAATGAAATAATCCAAACTAAAAAATAACTAACTTTTAAACATTTTTGAGCTTCGTTTTTCAAAGATTTTGCCAATCGTGACAGCCTTAGAAAAGAAAAGTGCATCTAGAAATTAGCAGTAACGTCAATAACAACCAAAATCGTCAGATGTAGGCCATAATTTTAACCTTTCTGCAAAATGATAAGCTCTATTCTCAAGATTCATCTATTGTAGTCATGAAATACGGCGCACCACCACTTCCAAGTCTCAAGGAAAACTGCTCATCCCCATTCATAAGCGATTAGACGGTTCCACAACCTATGTATTAATTTCAAAAATAGACATTCCAAATAACATTCTCGGCACTTGACCAAAATTTCAAATAACGTTCTCGGTACTCAGCCAACCATAAAACAAGAATATTTTTGTACTTGTTTGAAATACAAACATGTGGTAATTTATTTCATTTTAAACTTACAAACTCAATATCACAACAACAGTGCTGACAAAATAAATGAAAAATCAAGTGAGCAAAACTGAAATAGTTCGTCAATTATATATTTAAAAATAAATTTCTAATACTGCTACGCAAAAGTTTAAAAAAGATAGAACTGGCAGTGAAGAATCAATAAAGTTTTCAATAAATGTCAGAAGCTAAGCTAATGGCATTCAGTTATTCAATACAATACAAAATGAATGCAATATGGACAGGTAGCACCCAGTAAAATAACAACCAAAATACCGCGATGAAAAAAAATTATTGCAATAAAATACAATAAGCAAACTAATCAACCCTCAAAAATTGAATAATTTAAATGATTTGAAAGCTTTTTGCTTTTCAATACATTAAAACCAGTACACCACAAACACCTAATCATTCAAGTTTCTCACTAATATTAAATGCGAACAGAACTTACAAAAGCTATTATTCATACTGAGTTTCAGTTCTTGAACTGCCATAAACCACAATACTTCAGTCCAAAATTAAGTTAAATTAATACAGCAAGGAACTATTTTCTGAGAGATTTTGTAATTAAAATAGTCAATTTAAGTTAAAGCCATTGACTACAAAATTGATAACATCAATTCTAACTCATAACAAATATAGAAAACACAGTTTTGAACACGTTATGAAGAAATTGGCAGGAAATGAATAGAAGATGAGACAAAAAAGCCATGCACGCAAGAATCAAACATGTTATGTACACAGTTCATACGAAAACCTGCATACGTGCAAGAAATTGAGCAATATTTTACAATTATAGATAGAACCTTTAACAATCTAACAAACTCTCCTTCAAATACAATAAGAATTAAAAATTCTTCTTCTTAATATCTTTAGCGCTTTTAAAATTACTTGACGAGGTAGAGTACTCATATAATGTGCACTATTGGACACTGAACAGGACTGATTTTACCAACTCCCAAGTTATGCATCAGCTATTTTAATTAGAAGGAAAGAATGACCTCTTTTAGATGAAAGAGAGAGAGCAATTATTTTAGTTTCAGCATTTCACGAAAATATATGCTTTCTTTAAAAGGAAATATCTTACAACTGGAAATTACAATAATGAGAGAATTTGAAAACTAAGGCATATTACGACAAATCTGGCATTCGATAGAAAGTAATTGCACCACCCTGAGTTGCGACTGCAAATGATACAAGCAACTGATGAAAGCGCATGGATGACAAAGTTCCGATTCGACCACTAATCACCCAATCATCTTGACGAAACTCATTCAGTTTCTTACCACTAACATCGAATAACTTCACGACAGCAGCATCATCGATACAACCAATGATCTTTAACAATATGACTTTGCATACTTAACTAATATGTACTGACCTTTATTTTTTCAATTAGCACACGACAGTGGTAGCGTTTAATAGCATCTAAACTAAGCACTAAGTTCTTACTAAAAGAAGGCTACTTCATCTCGTTTTTAAATAATTACTATATATACTGCAAGTATACTTAACACTAAATTTGATATTTTTCAGGAAAACAATTCACAAAAGAAAAGCCACGAATTTTAACCAAGCATTTTTCAAGCGACAAGTCCGACATGAAAATATTCAAAATGAAGCTTACCTGTCCATAAGTGTGGATTTCCATACTTGTTAGACTGTTTTTTTTAGATGAACTGCAAACGTTGAAACCCAACACTGGCTCCTGCAATTCAAACATACTCAATAAAAACAAAGAATAATATTCGGTAATGCATAACAAAGAAATTCACTAGCAAATATTTTAATGCAGAGATCTTGTAATAAAAACCTTAAACATTCTTGGTTCCCACAAGCGTATTTCACCATCCCTTGAACCAGCAATTAGTCTCAAGTTTCCTTCTGAAGAGTTATTTTGTAGATTATAGAAAAATGACAGTCCAATTACTGGTTCTTGCAGCTCTCTAAATGATATCGTACGTCGTGATTTATCAGGTAATCGCAGATCATAAATATTTACTAGTCCATCGCTAAGACCTAAAAAATATGAAAATAAAATCTGGAAAGAAATACAAAAGAACATCTTCACCAAACAAATAGAAAAGACAAAATAAGGAGAAGGACTACCAGCTGCAAGAAGCTTGCTTTCTGAGCTCTCCAAACTCAGTTTTGTGACAGCACAATTCTTCATTCCAATTTGAATATCTTGCATGCCTTTTTCTGCATGAACATCCCACAAACGACATACTTTCACATTACCAGAAACTGCTATTAGACCACGTTTTTGACTCCAACTTAAATGATTTAAACTAACTGAACTCGCAAGAACTAAAAACATCTCTTGAAAGTTTAGTTCTCAATTTAAAAAACTTTACATGCTCAAATTTTCCTACTAACACAATAGTTTGTATGAAACCAAGGGCAAGGTAGTGAGAGAGAAAAATATACCTATAAACAGATGCAAGAGATTTATTCATTGTAATGTTAACTGATGTATCTTTTAAAAGATAAGCAGCTGTTATCATTTGCTGCTTTGCATCGAACTCATATGAGTAAATGGAATAACCCGGATCCCAAATTCTCATTAATCCATCATCGCTGCATGTCATCAATAATTCACGCGTCATTTCATTGATGACGAATAAATCAGTCACAAGTTCCTAAAATGATATGAATACATGAAAAAGAGAAACTTTTTTTCGTTATGCCCGCATATTGTTTTCTACGATCAAATTTGTGATCAATAATAAATAAATTTTCTAGGTTGGTATACAGCGATAAAGTCTCCTTAACATTGTAATTTACAGAAAGCATGAAGTTTTGAAATTTTTCAACAACAATTTATTAACATTAAAGAGGAAACGATTTCTATGAACTGAAATCATTCAGCTATGGAAATGCCAAAAAATATCAATTTTTTTCGTAAGAATGAATTACTCACATCAGTGTAAGGGTGATCGTCATGATATACAAACTTTCTCACATCATATATTCGTTGTGGTTCACAATGCCAAATCGTAACCTTTTCCTTACTGCATGAATATAAATGGGGCCTAAGCTGACTCCAAGCTAAACAACTGCAAGCCCCGGTTGTTCTGATAGTCGGTGGATGTGCATCAAATAATATTCTCTAGAATATAAATACCGATGGAAGAAATTTTATTTTCTAGTGTATGGAATTCTAGAACAGAACTATTTAACAATGCGTTCAAATGGAATTACCAATCACAGATCGGATATTTCTCATTTGAAAACGAGTTAGCAAACCTCTGAAAGAATCATTTTCTGAAGCTGTAAAATGAAAAGCACAGCATATACTACTTGCTAAAAAATTCTGAATTAATCGTTATTAACATGCTTTTAAGTTTTATTTAATTTTCGATAAAATCACCTCTTTTTTAAGGGCCAGACTTTGTTTTCTTGACGTCTGTTTTAAACCTTCATCTCTATGTAACGCCCAATCGCTGGGCATAGAATGAGTTGCCAGTCGATCAGTTAGGCCATCGCCAGCTTCTCCTTCACACAGAAAAAGGATCACTTTTATGAGAAAAGCAAAATTATAGTTTTAAAAATACTAAAATAGTAATTACAAAGAAATAAAGATAGTACCACCATTTAATTCATCAATGTACCTAACCTTGTATTACATCTAAAATAGGTTCAGTGAATCGCCTCGTACACCATGGCACGAATTCAGTTGATACTAGAGGAACTACTGGTTGCTTATCCATTAGAGAACTTTCATCTAGTTTTGTCATACTAACTATCGTTGGTGAATACATCTGAAAGCAAGAATTAATGTGGTACATATGCACATAAATATAATTTTACATATGTGAACAGTAAAATTTTGCAGGAACAAATCTGAGTATTCAAAAATTTGAAGTATGAAATGATGTTACATTTATTCCATACCTAAAATTTTTTAAATTATTTTTGTCAAAATTTAAAAGCTTGCATTTCGTTTGGGAGTAAAGATCGCTGACTGATGAAATATTGGCAATTGCTCCAACTTTCGAAGATCTAAAGCTGATGATGAATCGTCTGAATTCATACGAATGCGACCTTCTGAAAATGATGGTGCCACCGCTAACTCTGATGGCGGAGAACCGATAGTGAACGTTACTGGTTCTACTGATGATTCAGACTGCTGAAATACATGAATTCCTAACTGAACACACTTTGATTAATTAAACTTTTGTCTTTAATTTATAATTACAAGAATAGTCAACAGAAATTTGTGTTCCTTTCAAAATTTGCTATTGAAAAAAGATTTACTTTATTGATCGACGATGTTCGCTCAAGACAGCTCATTTTTCTTTTTTCATGTTTCGTTGTAGCTAATTTATCGACATGTTCAATAAGTACCTTGAAAATGAACGATTTAAAAAGTTGATAAAAGCTACGACTTTTCATGAAAATTTGAGTAAAACAAATTTATGAGACATATAAACAGAATTGCAGATTCTTAAACGATTTAAACTTCAATACTGAAATATGAAAGAGAGGAACAACACTTAAAATGCCAATAACTGCAAATCACAGTAATAATGATTTATAAATAGATTTCCTTGAACAATGAGTTGACTCAAATAAAACAAAAAGAAAACAACCTGAGCCATTTCACCGATTTTTTTTACGGGATCCAGAGAAAGTCTAAGAAGTGAGAGCCATATACGCTCTGACTGATCGTTAAATGTTTTTGATTCCAAAAAAGCAATTTGTTTAATTGCTTTATTTCTGAAATAAAAAATTCAATCAAAGAATTCATACTGATTTTTCAAATGCAGAAGAGCATACAAAACTATGAGCAACATACTTAAAACTTAAAGTGTGCATATTTTTTGAAGACGCCAAAGTTTTGGAGGAAAAGTCGCAATACACACTCTCATCAAAAGTTGATCTCCATGGTACATGAACTTTATCTGCCACCATTCCAGACACTCAAAACATCAGAAAAATTAGAAATGTGTGCAATAGTAGCTACATTTGGGGAAAATTAAAAAGAAGCCTCAAGTTTCATATTCATTTTCACACTCTAAACATCACAATATAATAAAACTGCTGAATTTTTTCATCTCTCAGAGAAAAAGTACCAAAGTTCATTGAACTGGATCTTCGCGGCGAATCTGATGAAGTGTCCAAAAAATGATATCGCCTTCGAGAAGCAGATCTAAAACTACCGATAATTTTTCATATGCAAAAATATTGAAATGCAATATTAATGGAATGAACTGAACCTTGGAAGGCTTCGATCATAGCCACGAGATAAAAAGGCATCATTTTCTTCATCGATAGAGCGCAAATGCTTCATTTCTTGTTCTCCCGCCTAAACAAATGCAAAAGAATAAAAAGTCATACAACGCAATTGAGACTAGTTTTGACACACAATCACAAATGACACTAATTTCAATATCTTCTGGTAATAAATTCTTGTTCCAAAAAATATATGTCAACGGAATAATTATCTAAAAAATGCAGTTATGTGGACCAGAACAATACCGAAAATTTCCTTTCTCTACATTTGTTCTGTTCGATTTTTTCGTTGAGATCCATTGAAAGATTTGCAAAGCGATTTTCAAAATCAATGATGAACCACTGCATTGCAACAACCAGTTCAGCACGAACAAGTACAGAACCATCAAATGTACACTTTGTTGAAAGTTTGTCGCAGACTTCATGATCAATCTAGAATATCAGAAGACGCCAATTATGCATGTATGAGATTAGAGTAATAGCAGCATACTATTTTTATCAGTAAACTTTGTTATTAAAAATTTATTAAAAAAGATTACAATAGTTGCGTGCTCAATATTTTCTGATCTATTTCTTATAAGACACCCGATTGCATACACTGCAGCAGTACGCACCTCAGGAACTGAATCATCAAGAAACTCAAGAACCTGTAAAAAAAAAATTGGTAGAACTGAAAAAAATTATGTCCACGGTCATAACTCTATTTTAGAGCCTTATTTTTAAGCATGAACTTCAACATACTCTTTCATAAGCAGCTAATCTAATTGCCTGCCATCGAGCGTCATCATAGTCGGCCCAGAGTCGCCCAAGACCAATTAGTAGCCACAAACGTAAAAGTCTGCAATTTCGTGGTGTTGCATCGGATAAAAGTTCAACGCAAAGAGTCACATAACTGTTTTCAGTAAGCAGTTCTTGCGCAGGTCTAAAATGATAGCATTAGTTAGAATTGTGTCAAAAATAAATTATACAAAAATGAAATAAATGATATCATTGATGAATTTATTAAAAAAGTCAAGCAGCACTCGAGAAATGTATGACAGAATAATTTTATAATTATTAGAAGTGCAATTTAATTATACTGAAATTACCAATTTTCCGAAAATCTACAAAAAATTTTCGATGAAATGAAGCGAAGGTTACAAACCTGTAATTGTTCTCTATTAAAGCAGCCATTACAAATGCCGGAACAACTTTTTGCCTCGGATCAGTATTGGGATCATTAAGAATCGTTAAAAAATAAGTATATCTGCAAACATGATTATTCAAGCACGTTATGCGGTGAGTAAGGGAATTTGCACTTAGGATGTATCAGTTCTAGGTCTTTAGCATGACTAACCTGTGACACATGCTCTAAATTTCAAAAGCAATTCTTTAAACCGAATATAATATAGAAAAAGCAATTGATATTTCCCTGACGTTCCCAAATATATATACATGTATTTTTCCGATATTAATGAAACCTGCTCCATATTCTCAAATTTCTGTAACGAAAATATCGATTATCCCAGCCAAATCTATACCTGATATTTTTGACTTAATGCACAGAACGCACCCTTTTTCTTTATCCTTGGTAAGATCTACCTGACAGTTTGTTTCCACAGCAAGAATTTTAGCCCAAATAAAAGCTAGCCAGGGCCGCAATTCTTTTGTTGCACTTTGAAGCAACTTCAGCACATATGGAAACACACCAACAGATAGAGCATGGCCGACAGCCCATGAACCCAAATCTAGAAACCGGGCCAAAAGCTCCAGAGCTTTCACTCGATGTACCTCAAAATGTACCTCAAAACAATGATTATACCCATTTTTTGGCAATGTTCATGCTGAAATTTTAAAGTAAATTAATTTTTATATCAGTGATTTCAAAAAAAATATTTCACTGAAGTAATTACAAATCTGCACCTGGCTCAACAGCACTTGTAAAATAACAGGAAGCTGTTGTGGAGGAGTTCGTCTTTCACCTCCGTATTTAAGCCAAACTTCAAATGCTAATAACTGCTCGACGAAAAACCAATTGTGAGTGTAATCTGCTTCATCAATTGGCGCAAAGTAAGAACTCACATCGACTAGCACTGCAACAAAGTACTGAATTACAAATGATCCTTACAGATTTTGTAGCAAGAAAATGATTTATTACGAAGAAACTTGCGAGGAAAAAAAATTTGAAAAACTCCTAACGAATAAAAAAAAACATTTTAAATGGAAAATATTAATGTTTAAAAAACTGACAACGTCAAAAATTATTAAACAAGGGACCCATAATTCCTGTTAATAACATACGTTCATGACGGACAGATGAACGTGAGAAATATATTTCTTTCGCAACACACCAAAGATTTTGCTTGGGAATTGTAAAACCGTGTATTTGACTCAGACACAAGTCAATAGTGTAATCCCAAGCTTCCCACAAAGGATGACCGTGAAGAGATGGTAAAGCTGGAAGAGAAACTACATGGCAATGATTGTCATGCATTATTCGACCCGCTAATACAAAACTTCGAAAAACCGACGCAAGCAGTAAATCCTGAAACTGTCAGTGCAAAGTTTATGGTACTAAAAAACCAATTCAAAAAAATGCAAATGTAAACAGAATATTAAAAAAGAAAAAAGCTGATTACATTAACATTAAAAGTACTAATCTGAAACACGTATCGCGAAAAATATACCAGAAATTTTAACTTAAAAAAAGAACCAAAGTTTGAATGATTCTTGCTTTATTAAATACAATTAAAAAAACACATTAAAAACTTCATAAAAAGCAACTGCAAAAAAAATTCTTAAACGAACAAGTCGGAAAAGTTTTTGGAATAATTCTTTGGGAAGTGAAATCCATGCTATGGTATCGGTAATCGCTGTGAAAATCCAATTAAGTTCACCAAGCATTGTTCGACGATCAGTAAGTTGACCAGGAATTTTGTCAATTATGGTCACAGGAAATCTGTCCTAAATTAAAGAACAAAATCGAACACATGGAGTTAACATTACAATTACCAATGCATATTATCATTTTTTTTTTAAAAAAAAGAATACTTCTAAGTGGTTTTTCATGATGTACCACAACACTGAAGTCTGGATCGGTGTTAAAATACAGGAAGTAAAAAGGTCAGCAGGTAATCTTGAATCCATTGGAAGCAATTCATTGTCTCCGCAAGCTCCGATATGAATGCATTCCTCGAAATTGAAAACAAGTAATAAAGTTGCTAACTTTAATTCATTGGTTTGTCAAAGAATAACGAAGACAAATTGACACCACTTTAAATTCCAAAAATTTACTTTAAAATTTGGTTTCTTCCGAAATCCAAAAGCACATGCTTGTTCTTCAAGACTCATTTCAGTTTGTATTATAGGTAAAGGAGGTGGGCGCGTTTCCTTATGTTCATCTAGTTGCTTTACCCATTCTTTTTCATGATCCTCAGCAAATCGATGGAAAGATTTTACTAAAAAAATTATAGAATAATTAGAGAGCATATTAGTAAACAGTAACTAATTAAGTGAAGAATTTATAGGGAGACAAACTAAAAACAATAATATTTTTTCCGAGCTCAATTTTAATCTCTGACTTGAAAATCTGTAAACTATAGCTAAATTTACTAACAAAACTGATTCAAAATATTACCAGCTAAGCCAGCACAATGACAATCCCAAACATACACGCCTGGATGACCCATCCATGTCTGCAGGTCATAGATTGAAAGCGGAATGTACTGAAACTTTTTTCAAAAAAGAGAAGTATGACAGATAAATGCTTACTTGAGATTAAATAAGCTATAACGTGTAGATGAAAGTTTATAGGTACCTGGGTAAAGTTTTTATTGAAAACCCATATTTCTCCATTTTCAGTTGGACGTGGAACACCATGTCCATTGTAATGAAACAAAATTCTTTCATCTTTGGCATTACGTCTTAAACTCTGACATAGACGCCTAATATCATCAACGGTTGGATCAGTAGCTGTCTTATATCTAAAAAATATTAAGAGCTGAAAGTAGCTGAATATTTCACAATTCTGAGAATCAGAGTGCTTAAAAAAAATCAAAAAATATACACGAAGCCTTTAACTAACCTTGCACGCGGTTGCCAACGCTCGTAACTTTTTTGCAAAGCATTGGCTATTTTAACAACCGCTTTATGAGGATCCATTCCAGCAGGGTCGATCCAACATTCTTTTTTAGCGCATGGATTCGGTTTCTGGATATCTGGTGGATCGACACCAATATTAAGACATAATACAAGAGCTACGGACACTGTTTTCATACGTTCTTTAGAGAACTTCTTCCTAGAGTATGTTAAAAATTAAATAAATGGTCTGTAGATGGTAAAAACAAATAAATATGAAATAATATTCAGGAGATACATTAGAAATTACTGATAAAGTACTTCAGTATTTAATATCTCTTAAGATACTTGAAAAAAGTTTGATGAGAAAGAAAAAAACAAACCATAAATCTCTGTCAACAATTTCTTCTTTAATGCCAATAATCTTCTCTACATGTCGTAATTCTTGAAACCATGTTGGAAGTGACGGATCTGTATGCTAAAATAGAATCATATAAAAACATCTTTTTTTAGGTACCAAAAAAGCTACCATGAAAAAGAAAAGACAAAAACGTAAGACAACCACAGTATAAAAAATACAGCCAGTACTCCATAACATTAATGATTTTCAATATGACTTACAATTCTTGAAAATACATCTCCAAACTACGCCCAAAGCACTTTCAATTTCTAGCAAATTCGTAGGTAGGATTTAGCAAAAAAGTACTGATTAAGAATTTTGACTCACCATATCTTCTATCCGCTCTGATATCATCGTTCAGAACTTTTTCCAAAAGTATAACATGCATCAAAATAAATTTGAAATACTATCCACGCACTAATCAAAGCAGTGTCTTTTATAGCTCACAACCTATAAACTTTGATTACAATTAATAATAACAGCAGAACAATTAATCTTTCAATGAGTAGACCATTCATATAAATATGAATATTGCAGCCATCTCAACGTAGCTACTTCTGTTTTCTTCATTCAAGTCCGTAAAACAATTTGAATCTCAATTAATCCTTATATAAACTTCAATTCCAAAAACATGTTTCATTTTTGTCTATGTATCATTACTATCACAACTATACGATACAATTAGTGTCACATTTACGCTACATACGAATGATTTAAATACTATTATAAACCTCACCACTGAATTCAAGAACTGAGCATATTTGAAAAAAAAGTCACTATAATCTCGAATCTACCAAATTAAGGGTGCAACAAAGTCTTCTATATAAACTGAGAGATTTTGATACATGTGACACCGACGTAAAAAGAAATGATCACGTGGAACACGTGATTAAGCATTTTTTGCACGCGATAATACATAACTAGCACAGTGCCTCTGTGCAACCTTTCATCTCACTAGAGTATCAAAAAAATCATTTCTATTAATCTGATAGACAATATTTTGAATTCTAGAGTTTAAGGCAAAAATAATTCTTATAACCTAAAATAAAGATTCATATTGTGATGAAGTATATAATGAACAAATTTTTAGTTTTTCATCACTGCTTTCAATTAATTAACAGTTGTGAATAATCAGGTATGATTTATTAAATTATATGACAAACAAATCAGTCAGCAATTTGAAAAAAATTCAAATTTGGTTTTTCAGAAATGTCAAATTATCGGCAAGGAATAAGTCTGAATCAAAAAAATGATTGTAAAAACCTCAAAAGATCAATAATAAATTTAGAAAACTTTTTCTAATGAATTCATTGTACGATAATAACTCTTTCGAAGAAGCTCTTTTTCATCCAATTTTTTTAGAGTATCACAGTATCATAATAAATTATGAACATAATTCCAAGTAACAAAGATCAAAAATTAATTACTTTCTTGGGAAATGGATTCTTCTCATTATTCGTACTCATGATATTATTCATCGTTATTCGAAAGCATTAATACACGTTTTGTGAACTTTAACTTTTCTCACTATCAAATTAGCACTATGTATTTTGGAATATATAACTTAAGTTGAATTAAACCTTTTTTTACATATTAATCTTAATTTAGCGGACTCTTTTTACAATTACGTTTGTTTACGATCTCAGCACGTAAGCAAATAAAACAAAATTCAAAGATGCTTTTAATTTTCAAATATATAAACTGTTAAAAATACAAACCAAAAATTCAACCGATAATTAAATTACGGTAGTAATTTTTTTTTAATTATCTGGCGATTTAAAAAAATAATATACAACAGACGAATATGTTAATAATAATAATTTTTAAAGATGCGCAAAATTACTTTCCTAACATTCTAATAGTTCGAAAATTAATATCATTATTTGCTCTCTAATTTAAAATCATAATTATGCATCTTTTCATAGATTTGATGTAAGGCCATAAATTAGATAAGCAATTCTAAAAGACACAGTCTAGAAAGACCAATTTGTGATATTTAGAAATTTAGAGAAAGCAAATTATGATATTGTAATCATTTCAAGTGACCTCTGGACTGACCAGCAATGTCTGTACTGTTTTCTCTTCATATTATCAGCGAATAAGATAGTGATTTCAGAAGTATAGCCAATCATTCATCTAATTTAAGTACTAAATTCTTAAATTCATTTTGATGAATGCATTGCGAATTCGCAATGAGCAATCAGTTATGTTTCCGTTTCCAAATTATCAATAATAATTAAAAATGATTACTTCAATCCCCCGAAATTATTACATTCCTTCTAAGTCAACTTGAAATGACTGCAAAAGAAAACGCTGAATCAAGCACCAAATTTTATATCATTTTCACATCAAACATTTTACTGATCCAATTCACGATTAAAGTTTAAAATTTCAGATACCTAAAAATAGTTTGCATTGCTTTGAAAATTTTAAACTTAACACAGAATATATTTGGAGTAATAAATTTGGCGCTAAGAAATAACAAGTCTAAAACATAAAAATTAAAAATTTGGTTTTCAAAGATAACCCAAAATAGCAATAATAGTACAAATAATTATAATTATAAGAACTCGAAAAACATAGCATGATGCTATGAAACTATTACAAATTGCAGTATGCAAATTATTCCTGTACAATGCGATGATAAGTATTACACTGTGCTATAAACAAATTTTGGACAACATTTTCAGCAACCTTAATTAAAAATTATCTGTTATTTCTAATTTGCTTTGTTATCATTCCACTGATCAGCACATTTTATTCACCTTTCAAAATAATTGTACGCATATCAACTAATGCATTCTCCAATTCTTCAGCAAACCTGAAATCTACTCTAAATTTTTTGATTCTTTTCAAGTATTTCAGTTCATAAAATAATTCTTTAAGCTATAATAATCAGTTTAACTATCTTCTATTTCAGTACTAATTACTTTTACTGTATATAATTTTTTCATTATATATATATCATTACTTAAAGTTAAATTTAAACTGACATATATTGAAATGATTAATCAAATTCTAATTGTATTAATTATTTGCACATTTTGACAATGAATATTTGAATAATTCTGTAAATTAATTTCAGAAGTAAACGTATGTTAAAATAAATTATTTCAAATATTGCTGGTTAATTCTTTCAAATTTTGTAAGCTAAAAACAATGAAAGTTATTCAGTGCTTAAATGCTTTTTTTTGTGACAAGATTCAAAAGATATTTTAATTTTTTAAGTAAATATAATATTTATTCCAAAAATTTATAAAAGTAAGGTTATTAGAAACTGGTAGTAATCAAAGTTATACATAATTTGAATTTAAATATTCACAGACTATTTCTATTTATTAATAATCAATGTAATAAAGTAAGAAATAATTAAAAAATATTATTACTGACCTGGAAGAGCTAGTTTCCATACAACTATTTAAGGTGCAAATAGTAAAATGCAACTTTTTAGGTTGTGGATTATAGCATATGCCATAACAGTCAGGTGCTGTTGGTGCATATGCTATTGGGATGAAATTATGAGTTCCAATCTATAAAGTTAAACTTAAGTTAAAACAGTTCAAAGCAGTTAATTATATAAATAAAATCTTTTACATAACTTAATTAATTACTTGTGAAGTAGAAAGAGTGAAAGCCATAAGTTTCTGATAAGCTTTTGTATCCAAAATAATAGGTTTCGGGTGACCGTGTTCTTCAGCAATCATTTTTAAACCCAATAAATAACGATCTACTCCTTTGCCATCCATTACCTAAACAATTAATAGCTAATCTTTTTAAATAATTAATAATTAATCTTTTCAAGAATTGCTCATTAAATAATACTTATAACTTTGTAGAGTATTCTAAAAAAAACTTTTTCCAAGAAATATTCATTGTGATTGGAAAATAATATTTATGATTGTACAGCACTTTTGTAATCACTATATCAAAATATACACTCAGATTACTATATCACAATTATAGTGGAATTATGATGATTTGCGCATCCAAAGAAATTCATTAAGTTAACAAAGTGAATTCTAAATTTTATTTATTAACAAAATGAATTCTGAATTTGATTTATAATTGAACTTCGAAAAACCGCATTTCGAGTATCAATTTGATAGCAACAATTTGATTTTTCTTAATAGCAATGATTTGAATTTTTTCAAAATTTAGCGCTAAACTTTCAACTTTACATAATTTTTCTTTCATATTAATTCATATTTTGCAAATTTTCAAATAAATTTCAGGAATTAAGTAACGATGTAAAAACTTCTAACTTCTTTCTGATAATTAAAATTAAGTAAAGAAGTAAATCTTGAAGTAAGAAATAATTGAATTCATTATAAAACATCTATTATAAATACTTCTAATGTATATTTCTTGTGCTGTTGCGCAGAAACACGGAACATTGTAGCCATCATTGATGCTGGAATATCTTCTGAACTATCGGGATCCGTGATATCAACAGTAAACATGGCAGTATGGAAATTGGGCAATCGAATGATAGCTGTACGTCCGTCAGTAAATTTACGTAAAGTAGCTATTTCAGACGTACACGCAAGTTTGCCATATATTCGATAATATGCAACTTGCATTGCAATTTGTATAAAACTATCTGGACTGATACCAAGTTTTTTGATAAATTCTTTACCAAAATGATCAAAAGTGTATACTTTAACATCTGTGTCAGATGCTATGCTGAAATAATATATTTCTTATCATTTAAAAAACACGCTTTAATTTCAAATTTATACTGAAATTATTACAAATAAAAGTTTAACTTTCAGTACTTTAGAGCTTGTAAATCAGTAATGCAGGAACTTTTCAACTGAATAGTTAAAATTTGAAAACTGAATATTTAAAAAATTGAATATTTTATTGAATATTTAAAAATATACAAAATATATTAGTTCTACAAAAATAGCTGCAAAGTCTGTCTATTATATCATTTAAAATCCCATATATGACTAAAATTATCATTTATACCGAGCAGATAAATAGTTATGAAAAAATTACTAATTAAATTATAATTTTACTCTATTTTATTTATCAAATTATTTATTACTTCCGCATATAATGAATGTCTTGTAATACATATTATCTGCATTTTTGTAAGTTATTTGATACTTTACTCAATAATGATATTGATAATATTGATAATGATAGTCAAAAATAAGTTGAATTTTGATTAGTGTTCAAGAGCAAAAAACAAACTGATTGATATTTTTTTTGGAATCTAAGATCAGTTCCTTCTTTTCATCAGGAATCGAGAAATGTATCGGTGATGTTGGTTCAATGCTGCCAGTTGCATCGTTATGATCAAAATCATCACTTTTTCTGTAATTCAATAATAATTGTGTACAATTCAGATGCAATAAAATCATTATTGATCGAAAATATGTACGTGAATGACGTGAACAATTTTCAAAGTTTACGTAAGCTCTATGAAGTCAAGTTTTTACATATTAAACATTAATAAGATTACATTTCGCTTGCGATGAAATCCATTAAGGCTGCAGCTGGTGGTCCTTCTGAAGGAGAATGTTCATAAGTCATTCCACAATAACCATCTATTCCAACAATAAACTAAATCATTATATAATGCTAATTTTTATTATCAGAAATAACTAATATTATTATTGTTATTAATTATGATCATAATTTTGGTACAAAATATCACATCACAATATATAACAAAAATATTTAAGCACTAAATTTGTATAATTAATAAAATTAATTTAATTTTATACAAACCTGAACAGTTTTATCAAACCACCTATTGCTAGAATTATTGTGGCATCCACCACCATGAATGCACTGTTGAGCTTGAACATCAACATCACTTGATCCATCAATATGAGCCATTTTTCGATCCAAGCAAATCGCAAATAAGCTATCTTCTACCATTTTTACCAGATCGCCATTTCGTTCTAAAACTTGATAACTTATTTTGGTATGAAAGCATTTCTACAATTCATTCTAAACAAATAGACAACAAACAAACTATCAACTAAATACTTGCAAATTTTATATCTTTAATTTATATTAAGTTATTCGATATTTGTTGTAAGTTTAAATATTTTAACAGAAATAATAATTATCTTCGATAATGAACATTAACAATATACTAGTTCAGATTACTGTGGAATTTTATTAAGTCATTTATTTAGCATAAATTTTTTGCATAATAATGCATTACAATGTTTTTGATTACGTTTATATACGTCTCAATAGTTTCACGTACTTATAAACTAAAAGTCAATAATTTCTGAAGAAATCACGATAGTTTTACACTTTTGAAATTCACGTAATAGTTTATTAATCTTATAGTTTAATGCTGACTTAATAAATTACGCTGAAACCTCACCTCACCTTAGAGCTGTTACTTACCTTTCAATTTTATGTACGCATCAGCCCAAACGCCACGTTCATCAGACGAAACGATTCCAATCGGATGCAAGTTATATTCCTCACTTTTTTCTACTATTTGAGTTTTCAGCTCATGCACCAATTGCTTAATGCTTAGTGCCTTACCAGTTGCGTCAAAAACTGGTAAGCAGAAAATCTGTAAACGATTTTGGTTGACATATATTAAATTAATATAATAAAAGATTAAAATTTTGTTTGCTGCTAAATTTATTGGAAAAATTAGACGTAAACTGACGTGTCCATTGCGTAACACAATAATATGTTTGCATTGTGGATCTCTGTCACATCCATAAACCATTTGATCTTTACGTGGTGCTGGAATACGTGTTGTACCGAAAATCTTTTTAAACTGATTCATACAAAGTAATGTATCATTATGTTTTTCTTGAGGTATTTCATTCCTAAAAATAAATTAACACAATAATTTTAGGTATTACATACAAGTAATTTTATTCTTGTTCAGGTTTAAATTCAAAAAAAGATTATCATTTTCATTAAATTATATGTAACTAATTTGTATTCTTGTTCAAATTCCTAATATGACAAGTTTAATTTTAATTTGAAACCTAACAAAAAATAAATAGACTATTCAATTTAACAAAATAGAAAAAAATTGCTGAAATATTTTTATTTAATTAAAATTCACTTCATAATTTTTATGTAATATTTAAGAGATGCTTGAATAATTTTCGCAGCTATTTCGAGTTGTCCATCCAAACCAGAATATTCAAATTTTGGAAACATAAGTGCTGTACTGCTATATAATGGAAGAGGAGTTCGTCTGGACAGGTATGCTTCATCAATCCACCATGGCGTAAGCTATAAGTCAAGTCAAGTCAAATCAAATTCTTGAATTTTTATAAAATAAGCTTAATAATCTGGATAAACTGTTCGTGAAGTAATTAAGTAATTATATGAGTAAGCAAATAAATAAATGGACAAAAGTAAAACAATAAAGTAGAATGTTCATGAGCGTATGTTATTATACACTTTAATAAATTTAACTCGATTATTTATTTGAATCAAATATTTATTATTTTTTTAGTTATTATTATTATTACTTATTACCATTATTATTTATTATCATTACTTATTTATTATTATTATTATCATTATCATTACTGTTGTTGAACAAATTTGAATTTCATGTTTATTAAATATATAATAACAACACTTCAAATGAATGCTTTGCTAAATTTGATGGTTTGATAAATTTGCAATTATTTAATTAAAACTATGAACAAATTACTGACAATTAGGCTCTGTGCAAAGAGTTATTAAAAATCTTACCCAGTTGTTCATTTCATGAGCTCTCTCTTCGAGTAGCCTGTGAAGCTTGAATGATTCTTCTGATTTTAAATATCCGTTCGTAATCTGATAATGATTATCATCACACCTTTATTGCTTAATTAATGATAATCATCGTTATTGTTCTCTTTATAATTACTAATCAAAATCAAACTTACACTTTAATGTTTACTTTGTATTATTTTTAATACTTGTTTTTTCTATTTAATGTTCTTCCTTGAATTATCGTTAGAAATGTTCACTGTTAATAACTGATATTGATAAGTAAAGTTTGCTGCTATCAATTATCTATTATTAAAAAGTAATACTTTCA